CCTGAACCAGCTAATCAAGCTCTTACTAGGCATACTAGAAACTTGAAGGCAGGTGTGTTGAGGCAACTTGGAGCTAAACTCTACAGGACACCGGCCCTCCAGGACCGAGTTTGGGCACCCCTGGTTTAAGAGATTAAAAACACATCTCTAAACATTTCAGAAAAATTGCAAATACCAGTATCGATGATAAACCGACAGACTCTGAAGTGTTTTTTGGAGTCTTCGACATCTTCAGCACTTCTTCTGCCTCTTGCCTCATTGACAGATCCAGATGTTGAGGCCTGCGTGCTCATTTTACGGCTTGCATCAAAGCGTATTATTCAATTTGTACTTACTGTCCGCATGCACAAACTCAACAACTGCTCCTCTTGTATAAGTCAAGTCGGTTCTAATGCAACGCTGTTGTGACTTTCCTTCAGCGGATCGTTCAGCGTGCAACGTACAACTCAAGTGGTCTCCAGCGCCCCCCTCGTACGGGAGGATACCACTGTGCGCTGAACCAAAGGGAAATATATGTTTTTTATTTAACTATTATATAACATATAATGTAAGAGTTGAACCTTAAAAATAGACACTTTGTGAAGGGAGTATTTCTTATTTCTTATATATTTCTATATAAAATATATATTTCTTACTATATTTTTTATAGTCGAAGAATATAAAAACTGTGAACTATTAATTTGAAAGTATAATGTTGAGAGGTTGCTAGGAGACCACTGCCAGCAGCACATTCGAGTGGAAAGATGTCGACTAGTTACTCTGCAAACCAGGTGCTTAAATTGTAACTATTCTACCATGATATTTGATTTATTTATTTTGTTATTGTTTAATCGAATAACGTTGACGTATTTAGCATATGCATGATGTTTTCTGCAGTATGAAAATGCCTTTAAGTCGCAAAAGCTCCAGAATTGGACCATCCCAAAACATTTCAAAGAGGTAACACAGTCAGTCCCACTGGTAAAGTCGTTTGAGCTGGAATAAATGTCAGTTTAATCGTTTACAAAAAATTTTTGCAAAATAACAGCTTTTATTTGAAATAGAAATTCTTTATTGATAGAAAACAATTACTTTGTAACAAATATTTTTACTGTCACTTTTGACTAGGGAACAACGGCTCTGTGTAGTTAATGCTGCTCAATGTGAAAGCCCGCAGGTGATTGAGTTTTACCGCTGATAACAGAACCGGCTTTCTGACAAGATGCGCGTTAAATATCGCATGCGATTTATCGTGCAGCCCTACTTTTGACTAATTTAATACAATAAATAAATGTATTTCTTTCTTTCAAAAATACTCTTACTGCACCAAACGTTAGTGTAGTGTACATTTTACTGTTATTATGCATTTTCATTACACAAACCGTGAACCATGCCAATGGCATTAAACTTGCAAATGCAAAAGCATGCACGTCAATCAAACAGAGCACAACGGAATGTGCAAACATTATAAATGTTTACTTTTTTCAAAAAGAAGAGAAAGAAAAGAAAGGAAAGGAAAAATGAATTTGAGTCGTTTTTCATTTAAATGATGCAGTTATACCAATTGCACTGGGTGGAGAGAATAATTGCCTAGTTCATATTACAAATACTTGTGTTTGGCCTATTTATTTACTTTCTGTTCCTCAAGAGACCAGCAGCAGCAGAAGGCCACACTACATTTATAGCCACAGACAGTGGCCACCTTCTACCTGGTGTGAGAACAAAGGTTTGTTTTGATGATTTGCATGACTTGCATGCAATTTAAATGTAATTACCAAGCTTAAAACGTTTTGCAGCAGTTTCATTTTACTATTTATAAATGATTTCATTATTAGAGTGGAAGTGCATGGCCAGCATTCCAAGGCACTTGGGATTTACCTCGCTATATCCCTCCTGCTTCCCTAAACCCCACTGCCCGCTCACAAGAGGGCCAGGATCGCCTCAAGACCTGGAGACAGATGAACTTTTCCACAAACCAGACTCATGAGGCCCCTGGTGGCAGCCAGGCTACAAACAGAACTGTTAACAATGTGGTGGGTATTTAATATCTCCAACTTATGATGCTATGGTATTAGATAACACTGCTTATATGAATTCTGACTAAATCAATTCCTTACAGGAAACCATAAATGTGGACCAGCCTGCAGAAGAGTCAGAAATGCCTGTGAATGAGCCAGACCAAAACCAGAGAGGCCCAAATCACAGTATAGCCAAGACCAGTCTAGACCAACAAGCCAGCAAACTCAGTCTAGACCAGGAAGTCACCACAGCCAACAGGCTTCATCTAGACCAGTCACTCAGGAGAGCCAAGCAGAGTTAAGACCACCAACCCAGAACAGCAGACCAGCATCTCAGCAGAAATAACACAATTTATAATCAGATCCCCTGCATGGGCGGTTATAAAAGTTGTTCCATGAAATGGCATTACGTAATTGTAACACTTCTTTGAAAAACACTTTTACTTTACAGATATTATTTTTGTGTTCTATTGCTTTGTAACTGTGTTCTAAATTTGTGCATACTATAATGTGTGTGTCAGAACACATTAACTGAATTGTTAATTGCTGAATTGCTAAAGCTGATTAGTTTTACTAAATGGCTTTTGTAATGAAATCTGCTTAGATTAAATTCTAAATGCAGGGTCAAATATTGCCAGAAAATATATCAGAGTACCTTGATATCTGTATTTTAATAATATTCTTAAAAAAGATTTTTTTAAAAAACCGCATAAGAGATTTTAAATCTTTTTTCTTTATTTGCTTAATAATACACTGACACACCTGTAGGCCACCTAGGACACAACATCAGCTTGATTCACTAGTCATCGGTTTTTGTTTTTGGTGCTTGGAAGCCAATGAGTGATTCTGTGAGCAGACACTGAAAGCTTGGGGAACTGAAGGCAAACTTGAAGGGATAGTTCACCCAAAAACCATAATTCTGCCATCATTTACTCACCCTCATGTCGTTTCAAACCTGACTTTCTTTTTTCTGTTGGAACATAAGATATTTTGAGAAGTGTTTTTTTTTTTTTTACTATTTAATTGTCCAAACAATGCAAGTCAGTAGTCACCAAATCTGTGTGGTTCCCAACATTCTTCAAAATATCTGCTTTTGTGTTTTGCAGAAGAAATAAAGTCATGCAGGTTTGGAATGACACGAGGGTTAACTATGGCAGAGTTTACATTTTTGGGTGAACTATCCCTTTAAGAGTCCCTCTAGTCAGTCACAGGTCCTAAAGATTAAGGTCCTTGTTAAAACATTTTTCAGCTCTCTCTTGATAAACATACAATAAACATGGCTAAATCACAATTGTACAATGTTGTCAATGTGTTTATTCACAAGATAACTGTTCAATAGTAATATCTGTGGCAAACTTCAATGTAACTCAGACACAGGTGGAAATGCAGCTTCAGAGTCTCGTTATATATATGTTTATATAACCAACAGTCATCATAGCCAAAAGAAAAGACATTAAAATCAACAAAATGTTTGACCAAAAATGACATGACCAAAAAAAAAAAAAAATCCTCAAAATCTTAACACTTTTCCAGAGTGTCACGTCTAAAACAGTTAATATCAGATATGATGTTCTCAAGTTAGAGACTAGGCATTTAAGTAGTTTAACACTAATGCCAAATACTGTATCTAATAGAAAACTATGTACTTTATTCAATATATATATGGTATACAAGGGCCTTGCAAATATGCAATGGAATATGGAATCTGCCACATGCATCTCAGAATACCATCTTGAATTATTTACAAAAAGTTCCACTTTTTGTAGTTTTAATACAAAGGCATGAAGTAAAACACCGTTTTTTTTCTTACGAGGCTGTCACACTAAGAATTTTGCGTATCAAAACCAGAATACATAATTTAAACAGCCTCTTTGGAATGTATATCTAGGTTTGAAATATGTTGTATAGTGAGACATGCACCGTGTCACATGATGGGGTGAATTCTCAATGAGCACCTAAACTATCATTTACGGCAAATTATATGATCTTTTTCTTAATGGTCTGTAGTTTGCATTGTGGGAGAGTGCAAAATGTAAGTGGACCTGCAAATATAATGTGCAATGCAATTTTTATTTCAAAAGATAAATATCTGTCACTGATATCTTTGTTCTTCAAATGTAGCTTATACTCTAGGATTGTGTTTAATACAGAGTGCAGTTTTTACATACTGTAAAAGTGCCATGATGGTGATACAACCAATATTTTTGACTAACAAATAAAATGTATTCTTTCCATATAACCATAAAAGTACCCATTACCTGTTTTATGTTTATAAAATCTTAAAATGTCAGCTAACGTCTTAAACTAAAGTCACACCTTCAACCTAAACCATCAAATCGATTTCATTTAACAGAAACATATTCCTGAATTCAAATAATAGAAGAGGGTAAAGATTATAAATAAATATTTTTGTCATTTTATATTCTTATCCCAATGATTGTCTACAACCAAAATGGAATCCAACAAAGGCACCACACAATACCTAAAATAATTCAACTCTTTTACACAGTATCATAAACTATTAATAGGTATCTTGAGCAGCTAAAAGAGAAAACCAGTGCTCACTATCAAAGATCACACCTTTCTAAGTTTGTACAGCAAGACCAAAAATAGACCACAGTGATACACGTCTGCTCAAGCACTAGATCAAAAATCAGTGTGTGCTGATTAGATATTAAAAGAAGAGAAAAACAGATAAACGTGGAATGAGCATTCAACTGTAGTATTAATAACAGTGGTGTGCAGTAATAATGTTTTTTGACTGAGTCATGGCATGTTGATAAGAGACTGGTTCAAGGGCAAGAAAAGGCACAGAAAAACAGACCCACACAGTGGGGTGAAGTACAGCAGCTGGCAGCAAATCAGCTCACAAACACACAGGACTTGCACAGGTACGTCGACTGGTCACTTTCGAGAGGGTTTACAACTCGGCCCACTCTGATACGACTCCTACAGCAAAACGAGATCTTCAGCATATGATTCCAGACTTGTGCAAATGTCACCATATCAGCAGCTGAACAACATTCAGAGGTGGCCGAACAGTTTCAGTCAACTTTCAGTGGAGTGAACTTATTTGCCAAGAGTAGCAATGCTTTACGATATAAAACAAGAGCAAACTGGTTTTCCCTCCACTATCCATTAATAACTGTGAATTGTCTGTGGATACTCCATTATCAGTATCATCCCACCTTCTGGTTCAAAGGAGCTTTTTGACCAACATTTGAACTTTCATTATTGGCCTTCAAGTGGGTGGGCTCCACTTTTGTAGCATTATGATTGATGACCGCACCCACTTTTTCAGTCTTCGTTTTATTAGATGGAGCGGGTTGAGGCTCTGACTTCCGAGGTGGAGCCTTCACAGGGGGACGGTGTGGATCATCCCCAATGTTGACAGACAAATTAGTGTACAATGGCTCCAACTCTTTGGATAGGAGCTCATAAGTCAGTGAGTTCAGTCCATCTGAGTGCCAGTTCAGCCTTGTGCGCTTCAGCAAGTCAAACCTACAAGAACAAATTCATGAAGAGGAACTGACTCAATAAACAGACTGAACAAATGGATTAAATACTAAACTTATCTATCCATACACTCTTAAAAATAAAGGTTCTTTATTGCCATCTATGGTTCCATACTTTTAACATCCATAGAACCTTTTTGATGGACAAAAGCCTCTTACAGTGGAATAAGGTTCTTTAGATTAAAATGTTCTTCACACCAATAAAAATAATGATTCTTTTAAGAACTGTTCATTTAAAGGTTCTTTGGGGAACCCAGAATGACTCTCCTATGGCATCGCGGTGAAAACCCCCATTTGGAACCATTATTTTTAAGATTGTACCAACTAGGGTTGCAAAAGGGTGGAAAATTTCCAGAAACCTTCCAAAATTTTCTGAAAGTTTCCCCCCAAAACACATGGAAAGTTTCTGGAAATTTACCAGAAATTTTCTGTCCCTTTTCAACCCTAGTACCAACACTAAGTTTATAATATATTTTGCCAAGTGACATCACCTTCTCGGGTTCTGCTCATTACCCTGATCTCCTTTATGTTTGATCATCTTATAATGACCAATGGCCAAAGGCGGGCGCATTATCTTCATCCCAGAGAGACGGACTCTAAAGACAAAACCACAAGGCAAGTAGAAACAGTAACATATAAGAAGAAAAAAAACCCTGAAGAAGGATGGTATGAAGTATCAAACGGACAGAGACAAAAGAAAGAGCGGCACAAAGCACAGCAGGAAAACTATTTCCAGTAGAGTCCGCAAGGTGGGTCAGATGGATGTGAACTAGCTAAAAAACTACTGTTGTTGAGAATTTTTATGTAAAAAGGTTCTAACCACAACTGAAAATCCTCAAAAGGTTCATCTAAAGTTGGAGAGTCTAATCCAGCTTTTAAATACTTAAAACTTTGTGTTCTTGCCTCTGGTTCAGCCATCTGAGTCATCTGAGTCAGGCAAGGCTACTGATGGCTAATTATGCGACAGCCAGGTTTGCAAATCACCATGAGCTGATACGCCCTTCAAAATGTTCTCCAAGAATACATGCAATGTCAGTTTTCCCAAAACACATAAAGCTGGGTCCTGGATTATCTCCAAAAATACTTTTCGTCTGGGACTAGATTTGATCTGTACCCTGAAAAATCGCTCATTGTGAAATCAAACCATGCAAGAATATTAAACAGCAAGAAAGAAAAGAAAAAACACTGATAGACTCAGAGGTTCTGCTTTGTCAAAGATGTTGAGCAGTTTGCGACTTAGCTCTTATTCAAAATAGCCAATTACATTAATGGTCCATTAATGGTTCATGAATGTGTACTAAAACATTTTGACAAAGAGTCTGTGTATACTAAGAGTATGCACTACTACTGAATCTATAGTGTGAAAACAGATGTAAAAACAATATATATACATATATATAGTTAGGTTACTGAACGAACGAATCTTATGAGCCAGATTTTTGTAGTGAATCAAAACTTTTCAGCATGACCAGTGTAGTCCATTGACTCTTGACCAAATGATTCCATTATGAATTATTTTGGTCTCCACCAAATGATTCCATTATGAATCATTTACTGAATCAAATACATATACCTCAACCAGTCCAATTTACCAACAAATGAATAATATAAGCATGAATCAAACACATATAGTGCTACCAGTGTAGTCTAATTCATCAACGTATGAACCTTTTTTTTTGTGAATATAACACAAGCACAACTCACAATGTTGCACTTAAGGCTTATGAGATTTAATGTAGTTACATGTGACAAAGTGTAGTTAAGCATGCACACTATGGGTTTTGTCAGTATTTTATCAAAATAATAGCGGAATGACATATGCCACATTTTAGTTTTAGCACTGTTATTTAATACACAGTTAGGCCAATTATTGTTTTGAATATATGCCGCCTATACAAAAGACAGTAAAAGAAAAGTCAGTAAAAAGTTTTTCCAGAATTTTGAAATGTATTTATTATTAAAATGATCTCATCATGGATTTTTTCAAATACACATTCCTCAAAAGCTCTAAAAGAATCATTAACGGAACTGCTAATGAGGAATCAGAAACAGATTCATTAGATTCCTCATGATGCTCAATCCTATTCATGCCAAAGACACTTAAGAGAGAACTAACCATAAAGAAAATGTGATTCAAATCCTCAACACTACTAATAATCTACTACACCTGACTCATTCTGGTTTCAAGGCTTCAACAACTTTTAATCCTCTACAGCATGTTTCTTATTGTCACAGAAATAAAATTACTTGAATGTATTATTGAATAAAAGGGCAGTAATTACTGAAGTGTACTGACACCTAAATAGTTGGAAGCCTTGAGTCCAATCTAGTGATTCATGCATGTACTTACTGGTCCCTCCTGTGGCAATGCGAGGGAGGGCATGAGGGATAGACGGATGCAGTGAAAATGAGAATTATGGCAAGAGACCAATGCAAACGTGAACTGAAAACAAAATGGTGATGGAGAGATGACAGACGTGCAACACAAATGCTTAACAGGATGCATTTCTCATGTAGACGTGCCAGTTACTTTGATCTCTACTACATTCCATTATGCTGAAATAACTCACGCAAACGCAGTATAAAAATGCTGCCATCCTCACCGAGCTGCGATGTCATCGTCCTCTCCTCCCCAGCCCCAATACTGGTTCGGAAAGCCGTTCATCTTGAGGTACTGCTCTGGGGTTACAGCAGACACCCCTCCGAAGTACTGCGAGTATGGAAGCCTGCAAAGGAGTCAGAGCAGTGATTTGGTGAGGCACAGAGGAATAAGGTCATCTGTCTCTACTATCCTTCATCACTCATTCCATCTGAAGTGTCACAGCTTCCCCTGCAGTTTAATGTTCATCTGTACCTCTGAATTACAGCAGTACAGCAATCTGTACGAATGGATAGAAAACCAGGGCCCCTTATAAATTAACAAAGAATGCTGTTTAAATTTGTGTCATAACTATTTTCAGAACACTACCACACTAATATTTCTGAAGTATATAGTATGTGCACTGTATAGTATGCACATTTTTTCTATCCATATGACCTGCTACAATTGGCAAAATGTGCAGTATACAACAGAAAACTGGGTGCAAATCATAATATATTCATCTTTTTCTTGAATCATTTTTTAAAAAGGCAGCCAAATGTTAATGGGTTTTTACACAAACTTGGACAAAAAATAATAAGTAAATAAAGTTTTATTATGTTTCAGAAATTTAACATGCAACATGATGACATCATGTGACAACCATAGATCATGTGTAAATCCTTAAAAGTGTGGTTTCACTGTATTTTAATGTGTTCTTTGAATAAATCTGGAAAAAAAGGATAGGAAAAGCAACTGATGTGTGTTTGTTGAGCTGTATAAAGACTATTACTGTATTTTGAACATGACTGTTCAAAAGTTTGGGTTTGGAAAGATCTTTTTATGTTTTTGTAAGAAATCTCTCATGCTCAACAAGGCTGCATTTATTTGATCAACAAATACAGCACAAATAGTAATATTGTGAACAATTTTATATAACTGATTTATAATATATTTTAAAATATGATTGACTTTGTATGATGGTAAAGCTTTTTTTCAGTCTTCAATGTCACATGATCCTTCAGAAATCATTCTAATATGCTGATTTGGTGCTCTGTTCTTATTATTATCAATGTTTCTTGTGGAAACCATGATACATTTTTTCATGATCATGATACAGAATAAATAATGAACAGATGGTTTAAAAGAGCAGAATTTACTTGAAATAGAACTCTTTTGTAACACTGTCTTTTTACTCAATTTAATCCATTGCTGCTATGTATCTTTCTTCATAATTTTCTCTGTATTTCTACCCAAGGACTAACTCTCTGAGTCGTGTCTGAATGCTTTACAGCCTTCAGTGGACTCATCACAGAGAGGATCTGATGTTGTCCTCAGCCTTGGTGCACTGAATATATGGGTTGATTTCTCTGCAATTTTGTTGTTCTCAGTGAATGTTTATATCTAAGTGGACATTGTGGCTGCAGAGTACAGAAATGCAGACTCTGTGACCCGAGATGTGCAGACCTGGATGTCAATTTAGAGGACCAGAGCCATGAGTTACTGGGTACAACTGTGTCAGCACTAATAATGAATGAACTACATCACCTATTTTACCATGCGTGAAGAGGATGAACTTTTTGTTTCTAGAAGTTTTATAAGATCTATCAAATTCTTCAAAAAGTAAAAACTGCTGTTAAATGAACAATTGTTCTTTTCTTTGTTTCTTTTTGCCTGTTTTGAATTAAAGTGTGTAGAATTCAACTGAAATGTTGACCACCAATTCATTTTAAAATATTTATATACATAACTTTTCATAACTACCATTGAAAAGTTTGGGGTCTGCGAGTTTTTTTTTTTTAAAGAAATTAATACTTTCATTCTGCAAGAATGCGTTAAATTGAACAAAAGTGACAGTAAACGCATTTTAATGTTACAAATAATTGGCATTCTATTGAAACTTCTATTCATCAATGAATCCTGAAAAAAAATGAATCACATATAAAGTAAAATATAAAGTATTTACACTGAAGTGGATGCTGAAAATGTAGCTTTGCCATTATAGGAATAAATTACATTTTAAAATATATTCAAATATAAATCATTATTTTGTAATATTATAATATTGTATATTTGTCACGATGCACACACACGAGGAACAAGGAGACGCTGGAGAAGACTTTACCAAGACTTTATTTTCAGGAACCAAGGGAGACGAACTCAGGAGTCTGACAATATTATATTATATTATGATAGTACTGATAATATTACTATTTTTACTGTATTTTGAGCCCAGTCTCATGAAAATGCATATTAATAGTACGCCAAATAAAAACGAAAACTCGTGGTATTGATACGCAAATATGGACTTTGGCGTGCATATGATACGCATGTGTCTGGCGCCCATATAATACGCAGTTTTCGCGTGCATATGATACGAAATTTGTTGGCGTGCATATGATACGCAGGTTTCGCGTACATATGATATACGCATCTACCCACAACCCTAAACCTACCCATCGCGTAAGTCCAAAGTCCATTTTTGCGTATCAATACCACGAGTTTTCGTTTTTATTTGGCGTACTATTTATACGCACTTTCATGAGATCGGGTTAGTATTTTTGATCAAATAAATGCAGCCTTGGCATTAGGGACTTTTTTCAAAGACATTAGAAAAACCTTACCAACCCTAAACATTTTAACGGTAGTGTATACTGGCATCTAACCTTGACATTGTTCAACTACACACCATTTGTTTAATTATTATATTATAATACTGTAATATAAAAATTATTATTGTTATAATAACATAATATTAAAACTAATATTATTGAAGTGTCTATACTACTATGACTACAAACATAAGAGTGCAAACAAAAATTGCACCCCTGTTCATTAAGATAAAATTAGAGAAAAGCTTTGTTAAAACATTAAATCCTGGGTAGGGTACCTGTATCTGAACTTGTCCATAGCTACAGAGAGGTGTGTAGGGTACTGGGGGTGGCAGGTGTAGGTATTGTGGTCATTTTCAGGAAGCAGGTCGACGTCATGCAGGAAAATGCAGCTCCAGCCCTCCTCTTTCAGCGCCTCCCGCACTCCAACATTCAGCAACTTCGCTCGGTTAAAGGTGGAGTTCCCTGACTGATAACACAGACTATGAGCAAATCAAGTGTACACAAATGCATTCTTCGGCAAGAATAGAACACTAATATAGCTTGACAATAAGCTATGAGCTATGTTTACCCTTTGTCCCAGCTACTTCCTCTAATAACTGCTAGGATTTTTTTCCCCCATACAATAGATATGACAAATGTCAGCATAACAATGAACAAGAGACCTGGTGCACAATGTAAATGCCGTAGTGGACCTGCTGCCGCTGCAAAAAGGGGTGCAGATGGTAGAGGAGGGCGCGGAGGTGGGTCTGGCGGTTCCGGTAGGGGACCACGATGGCTGTGTGGTGCCATGGCTCACAGTCTGGCGGGCGGTAATGACCCCCTAAGGTCACCAAGGGGTTCTTCTCTTTTATCTTCTCCAGGGAAGGGGGTGAGGAGAGGTGGACAGAAACAGGACCCACTGGCAGACAGCAGGAGGAGAGCACACATGCACTTGTTGTAGGGCTGCACAATTAATCGAATGCGATTGTCATGCGCATTTTGATAGTAAAGCCGGTTCTGTAATCAGCAGGACGATTTTATTGCGCGATTATGAAATCGAAGAAATCGTTCGCGATAATGACAGCTGTTTGCATAGCTTCTCAGTGAACTACGGCTCTGTGTAGTAAATGCTGCTCCATCTGAAAGCATGTGAAAATACCACATTTAATAACATATTTTTACTCCAAACTCACTTCATAATGTCAGTCGAGTGTTTGAAATAAATCCTTCTGTGAGATGATGTGGCTTCTTACACAGAATAAGGCACGCAACATATTTCATAGTATTTAAGCAGTGATAAAGGCACTGCATTATAAATATACTTTATATGAATGAAAATTATAATAATAAGAACTCCGTAAACCGTATATTGCCGTAGTCGTGTTTATTAGTCACGCTGAATCAATGAAAGCAGTTAAATCTTCTGTTTATTCAGCTGCAGCAATAGGCATTTTCTGGGTTTCTTCTGCTAGGCGTATTTGGAGTTTCAGCACGAGAGCGCCCTCTGGCCTTTGGATGGCGATTTACTGCTGATCACAGAACCGTGCTTCACTGAAAGATACGCATGACAATCGCAGCTTCTGTCGAATCGCGATCTCGATTCCATTTCGATTTGTCGTGCAGCCCTAACTTGTTGTATAAAATCTGTTCTACAACACCAAATTAAAGGAATTGTTTACCTAAAATTGTTAATTCTGTCATTATTTAATCACCATTATTTTGTTCCAAACCTGTATGATTTTATTCTTTTTTGTGGAGAATTTCTGAGTAGGCATGTACAATATATTGGACCATATCAGTTATTGCACAATATCAGAGAATTTGTTTTTATTATTGTATTGGTCAAGACTAGATATTTAATTGCTGTATTCATTTTTAAAATGTTAAATCTTTAATCTTTAAAACACTAAAAAATTAATATCACTGTTAAATGTAATCTTTTATGGAGTGAAAAACTATATATACTGAGTGACAGTTAAAAATAAAATGAAGTAATCAATTTAATAACTGAAACATACAAATGGAAATTAATAAATCACTGTTTAAATGGGCAAACTGATATACATTAAAAACTGTAATTCATGTTTTAAAATGTAGTAAAAAATAATGTCAATATTATCAGTATATAATAATATTGTGATGTCTAAAGTTGCAGCATTTAAAATAACTGATTTTAGTTTTTAGGGGTTTTAAGGTCATAAACAACTGCAAAAAAGCTGGCATCATTTTTTAATGTTGAAACATTTTCACTTTGATTGAAAAAATAATAAGAAATACCTTAAATATTTCTTAATAAACTGCATTTTGTACACAGCACACTCGGAAATGCCAAAAATGGCAAAACCAAAATAAAAACATGATTTAAAACTTACTCCTATGTTCACTTCATTTTGATTTTGTGAAAAGACAACTAACATTATCCCCATGTTTAAAAACTGTGAGTATAGTATTTTAAAATAATTTATTTTATTTTAATGTACTTTAAAAGACACGTAGTCTGCTTTCATTGTAACTGCATGGAAACAGCTGCCAGTACATTCTACAAAATATATTTTTTTGTGATCCACAGGAGAAAGTAAGTAACACAGGGTTGGAAAGATAAAAGTGCATATGAAGTAATTGATGACAAAGTCTTCATTTTTTTAGGTGGACTAAACTCATTAACGGGTTTTTGGTACATTTCATTCAAAAATAGACAATGAGACAAAATAAATGAACAAATCCAATGATCAATGTTTTAAGCACTTCAGTGTGGATTTATATCTACCCAGCAGTGGAGAGGGCAGCACACAGTCCCTGAGCTGCTGTTCTGGTCCACTGGGTCCTGGATGGTGGAGCAGCAGAGATGTGAGGTTGGTGTAGACGTCATGTGGTCGAGAGTAGTCTATCTCAGGCTCAGTGGAATGAACCAATACAGACACTAGGCCACGAAAGCCTCCCAGGGAGAAGTAGAGGACAAACGCGAACTGGAAGCCCACCAACAGAGCCAGAGTGCAGGGGGAGTCCAGCGCTTGACCGCAGCACACCATTATCACATCCAACAAAGAGCAGGAGTGACAGAGGAAGGGAGGACGGGAAAATCAAAGGAGATGGACAAGGGACAGATAAGAGAAGAGAGACAGAGTGAAGACAGAGCAAGAGGCATGAGAGAGGGAAGAGTGGAAGGATAACAGGGGTGATGAGGAGAAATAAAGTTAGCTCAGTGAGCTAAGGGAAGGACATCTATGGCATGTGTGGGAGTCACTGGAAAAACAGAGGAACACAAAAATCAATAGTGACAGATCCATCACATCAAACTACAAAGGAGAACTTTAAAGTGCCAGTGTGCCCGGGATCAATGCCAGATCTCGGATTAAATCAGCAAAGACCACACACTTTTTGGGTCACTCCTGTTACACAGTACAGTACTTTAAAAATAAAATAATATGTATTAAATATGCTTGATTACAAATAAAAAATGCATGACTGCAAAAAAAATGCTTGACTACAATAAAAAAAAGAAAAGGAATAAAATAAAATAAAATAAAAAAGAAATAATTGAATTTCCAGATTGGAAATCAGGACGGAAATACATAATTCAGAGAAGGATTTTGAGTTACTTTACATTAGACTGTCAATTTAAAGATAGTTTTGATATTTTTAACAATCTTTTGAAATTCTGATATTATCATATATTGTGTAAAATATCTATAATTGTATCTAACAGAATAGAATGCCTCAAAGTACAACAAACCATCTACGACATACCACAAAAACATCACAGAATTCATTAAATCCATAGCTAATACTTGCTTATGTTTGTGTGGTTGTTATTAATGTGATGTCATTTAGGAACTGGCTATGATTCGTTAGAGAGAAATTACACGACTATCAATAAAACTAATAAAACTGATGGAGAAACTAATGAAACTGATAGTTAGTTTGAAACATTTTTGATTAAAGAAAATAGAAATACCTGTAATCTTTCATTGCATTAATAAATTACATTAAAAAATGTTTTTTTGAATACTCAGACATTTCAAAAAAGGCAACATAAACTCAAACTAAACTAGAAATTCACTCATTTAGATTTTGTGACAACTATTATCTCATTGTTTAAAAACTGTGAGTACAGTATGCTATTATATTAAGACATGTAGATAGGAAAATGTGCTGCACAACAGGAATGAGCCTTTTATCAATTAATAACGAATAATGAATTCAACATGAGTAGCCTACCAGTGCTGACTGGTCATAAACACAAGGGTGTGAGAGAGCACTGTCCTCTTCATCCTGTCCATCACAAATCATTGTGCACCTTGAGGAGACAGATAGTTCTGGACTGATTAACAAGATCTCCTGCTTATTTACAAACCAGCTCGTCTTTTGCGTTACGATAAAACGGAAATGTATTTAAGCAACCATGCATGCAGCGACGACAGGCACAGAGCAATTATTGTGAAATAATCGTCAATATAACAGACATTTTGCAACACTTCAGGTCAAGCGTTTCCTCTGACTCGCCCGGACCACAGCGACGCTTCAAATCAGGATCCATCAGTCGATAACTAGGCCTTTATTTAATATTAATCACTGGATTGTGGATAATCATTCCTCTATGGCGCCCGAAACAGTGTTTAATATCCGCAGTCGCATTGAGCGCGTCGCGGAACGCTGTGGTGAAACGCTTCCTGAGTGCGTCAGACGCTCATGGCAGAGACCTGCAGACAGACATGTTTGATGCGGTGACCCGCTATCGACGGGCATTCTTTGACGCTGTTACAATAAAAGCCCTAAGATACTTGTGTTAAAAATCACAGTGCTGCCTTCTAGTGAGAAAACAAGACAGGTTTAATGCTAGAGGCGGTTTCATACACCAGATGATCTTGTGATGACGATACAGGCTTATAAAGCGAAATTAAGGTGATGAAAATGGGACACGACGTGTAATCATGTGGATTACATCTAAGTGGTTACAATGCCATCGTCCGCATTTTTATTGAGAATTATATTGTGATTTGATAACGTGAATTATGACGTCTGTGAAACTGTTTGTGTTTAACAAAACAATCAAATGCGTTTACTACAAATGTTTTCATAAGAGCTGAGGTTCTGCTGAAATGGTTACAAACCAGCTGAGAAAATGCACAATAATATTAGAACCTCTTTAATTGAGTAGTTATTTCAGATAGCTCGTTCAAATTATTTTAATTAATATTAATATCTTCTTAGTACCAAAACAGTAATTTGGACTTTGGATCCAATAATTTTTTTTTAGCTGAGAAAATGCACAAAAATAGTTCTTGACTAGTTTATTACCTATTCAACAGAGACTATATAGACCTATCTTTTAGATAGCAAATTATTTTAATTAATAAACAGATCTGGGTACCAAAACAATAATTTGGACTTTGAATAGCCTAAAGATTTTGACAGAGTAAGCAATAGCCTACTTTCAGTGTCAAATGACAGTGTCAACAAAAATTGATGTATTCAAATTGTCCAGTGTGGATGCAGATCATACAGGTTTTCATGATCTGCTGTTGGTATTAAAAAATGTAATCTACAATAAATGGACAAAAGTATTGAGACACCTGATCATTACACCATCAGGGACTTTATAAAGACATCACGTTCTAAACACATATTGAGCAGATGTGGCCTAATTGGGTGTGTCCCAATACCTGTGTCCCTTAGAGAGACTTGTAATCAGAAGGTGGATTCAATTCTGAATAAACAGAACTGAACCCCCCTTTACAGCTACAACAGCTTCCACTCTTCTGGGAAGGCTTTCCACAAGATTTTGGAGTGCTCCTGTTGGAATTTTTGACCACTCATCCAGTAAAGCATCTGTGAGATCAGGTACAGATGTTTGACAAGAAGACCTGACTCACAATCTCTGTTCCAGTTCATTCGAAAGATGTTCCATTGGTTCCACACCAAACTCATCCAACAATGTCTTTGTGGACCTTGCTTTGTGCACTGGGGCACAGTCATGCTGGAATAGAAAAGGGCTTTTCCCACAAAGTTGGAAGAATATCATTGTCCAAAATGTTTTGGCATGCTGCAGCATTTCCCTTTACTGGAAATAACGGACCTAGCCCAACCCCATACCATTATCCCTCCTCCACCAAACTTTACATTTAGCACAGTGCAGTCAGGCAGGTAACATTCTCCTGGCATCTGCCAAACCCAGACTCGCCCATCAGACTACCAAACAGAGAGGCGTGATTCTCACAGAACAGGTTTCCACTGCTCCAGAGTCTATAGTGGCATGTGCTTTACACCGCTCAATCCAATGCTTGCCATTATACTTGGGTGATGTGAAGGCTTGCGTACAGCTGCTCAGCCATGGAATTCCATTCCATCCATGAGGTTCCCGCCGCCACACAGTTTTTTGTGTTGACAATAATGTCAGGGGAAGTTTGGAACTGTGACTTTATGTGGTCTTCTGCTTTGTGACTGAGTTGCTGCTATTCCTGATGCTTCCAATTTCCAATAATACCACCAACAGTTGGCCATGGAATATCTAAAAGGGATGAAATTTCATGAACTGTATTATTAATTTTAATGAACTGACTTACTGCAAATTTTTCACAAATGTTTGTAAATGCAGCCTTCTTGGCTAGCTCCTTGTTTTTATACATGCGGCAGTGGGTCTGATTGAAACACCTGAATTCAGTAATTATGAGGTGTGTCCCAATACTTTTGTCCATATAGTGTATATTCAGTAACTTAATCATACAACAAGTACTCGGATACATAAATACATCTCCCACGATGTTTTAATAATTTTATGTTTTATTTTTATGTATAAAATGTGGAATTTCTCTGACATGGTTTGCGACAAGTAGAATGACCCATTGACATTGTGCTTGATAATGCAATCAGTCAATATTTGGCTTTATTGAGAAAGGAGGACACATGTTTAACAAGAAGAGCACTGCAAATGTTCACTGAACCCATCAAACTCGTGTTAACTCAAGTTTTATTAGTCACAGCTTTCAAAACATGATGGTACGCCACTTCTGCTCCTGAAGTCAAGCTGAAAGATATTTTACTGGAACATGCAGTAGCGTGCGGCACAGTAGCCTAAATGCATGCAGGGTCACTGCCAAAGAAAACATGAGAAAAACAACACGCTACAAAGAAAAGATTTGGAATTTATAGAGAAACTGTGCAAAACAACATAACATTACAATCCTTTTCTGAATCAGCCTTGAACCCAAAAGGGCTGGGTAAGAACATGAGGCATTTGGCTGAATGAAACTCGACAACATAATTATATTGTGTCTGTGTAAAGTTCCTCCATTGCCCTAAAGTACTCCCACAACAATAAGACCTCTGAAGCAAGGACGCAAGGCAAAAAAGGAGAAAAATGAAAGCTAAAATTTTTACAAATAACACAGATACACTTATTATAAGCACCATGAATTTAACATCTAGATTCAACCTTCCCATTTCAACATCCCATCCAAACTTCACTATTAATAATAAAACATAAACTAATATAAAATAATAGCAATATAACAGTACATATCAATAATACTGTTCTAAAAGTGTCAAGCAAACAAAGAGCCCTTAAAAAGTGAACTGATCATGGTAAGAATTCACTGTAAAACACTTACGAAACAATGACCGTTATTATGGTTTTGTAAATAGAGCCAGTTGTAAGAGATCAAAATCCACAAGTTTCTTTTTGAATTTTCCATTACTTATTTTTATTGCTCCTTCCTTTTCTCGTTCAGGTCAGTTCACATCAACTATATGATGACTATAAAGATAACGATAACTATATTAGCATCCACACCGACAGACAATAACGTTCTGTTCATTAAAAGCATGCTGCAGTTTTGTTGTCTGCCCCTTTAAATGCTTGATCTCTTTATAATGTTGATTCTGATTGGCTGTCATCAATCGGTATGATAGTGATTCCAAAAATAATGTTCCTCTGTGCCGTTTTCGTTATAGTTGTGGTTTGGACTGTGCTATTCTTTTCATTTTATTCTTTAAATTTCATTTCATTTTTAAAACTATATCTTTATCATTATAGTTAGCATCCTTGGTGTTAACTTTAAAATTCATAAACGAATACATCCAAAGATATATAATAAGAATTATTTGCAAACACTGTTTGTTGACACCATTTTGGCCCACTTTCTCCAAGTGTCTTCTGTTCTGTTTCAATTCCAGCATTGGTATTTGTCCCCAAATCTCTCTTTTCATCCATTCTCTATTTCTTATAGTTTCCGAACTGAATGGCCAATCGGTCACCAATGCAGCGAAAGGTGGCAGGCTGTACCTCCCAGTAGTTAACCGGGTTGCCATAGAGGCTAATGCCATTATAGAAGCTCCTCTTCATGCCGAAATCTCGAGGGCAGAAGTCATTAACATCCACTCGACTTACGTTGTTGGAATGAAGGTAGACCACCTGAAAAAGAAGCAAAAATCAATGATTGTGCTTGTGTGAATGGGACACTTTTTGTTCATCAGTTTGATATCTCACACCTGCAGGTACTTCATGTCTGGCAGACCCATGGGGACGCGGGTCAGCCGGTTGTTTTCCAAATGCAGCTCCCTGAGATTAGGCACATATGATAGGCTGCCGTTCTCAATCATCCGGATGTGGTTGAAACCCAGACCCAATCTGGCAAACAATGAATAAGCAATAGACAATAGATGGGCTGCACACATTGTGACAGACATCTAGTGAGGTGGAAACACAATAGATTGGAAACACTGTGAACAGGCACTGGGCAGGACAAGCTGCACTATAGGCAGGATTTTTCTGGATTTGCAAGTGTTAGCCCAATATCAGGGTTATTTTATGTCTTTTTAATTTCAGTTTAGTTTAAGTTTGCTTTAATGATGCATAATGAATTTTTTTTTAATTTAAATTCCTTGATGTTTTCTTCCCATATAACTTACAAATTGTGTACAAAATAAAATAATAAATAAAGAAATAAATAAATAAAAATGATACCAACTAAATCATTAAAAAATCATTTGTCAAATTTATATTAAAACAGCTCCAGTACTTGCTGACAATGAAATGTGCCATTGTGGGTACATTTAGCAGTAAATTTGTAACTGCCATCACTCTGGCATCTCTAGGACATCTATGATTCAGTACCGTCAGATGGGCCATGCAGCAGAACAACTAGTCACTGGATTTGCCAAAGTTAGCAAATTCATGGTATATAATCTTTTAAATATAGTTACAAATTTAGTTTGAGGTCATTTGGACTGACCATATGATAATTATTTGTTTTGTGTTGTCTTTGCATTGTTTCATGGCTTAACTTGACTGCTGAACACTGGTTTATTATTGTGATTTCAGACCAATCGTCATCAAATAGGGGCAGGTTGTATACATAAAACAATCCCACTCTCTCTAGTTACTAGTATTTGATCCGAGTTCACTTTTTCGAGTCCAAGACATTAACCAATTGAGTTGGGAGACGTTTATTAATGTCTTGTTAACTTAACTATGTTGTTACTTATTTTTTTATCTTTCATGCAACACGTCCGAGTCCACGTCCAAGTACCCCAACTCTACTAAACTCTATACCAGACCATCTAGAATTTACTATAAAAAAAAAATGTACAAAAAAAAAAAAAACTTTCTCTGTAGTATTATTTGTTTTTAGTTTGTTATAATGCACACTTATGGTTTCAATTTAGATTTTTGCAAACATCTATTTTTTTATTTTATTTAAAAATATTGTTTCCTTGCAAGCCTTTGTCAGCACAATAGTTTTAGTTTACAACACTTCTGAGATTACTCAAATTAAACTGGCAATTTTTGTGAAATTTAAAGGATAATACTTGACTCCGGGTGAAATAACTGCCACTGTTTTCAGTAAAAATAAAGTGATTTCACAGAATAATAGATTGTCAGGAGCCTAAGATGGCAAACATAGGGTCTATAATCACCTATGATTTAGTCTCTAC